AATATTTAAGCCAATCATGCTCTACAATGAAAAATGCCTACGCTTAATTGGTTAATAATAAAATTCGCGCGCCCGCCAACTTTAAATGACCTGCTTTGCCACTCTTGACCATTTCGAAATCAAGCCATCATGACAAGGCAGCGGCGGGAGTCATACAGCGTGGCGAAAAAACGTGAAGCCGTGGCGATGCTGCAGACTACCTCCGTGCGCGAGGTCGCACGGGCATTGGGAGTTCCGCGGCGTACCCTACGCGACTGGGAGAAGAACATTCACGTGATCATAGCCACAAGTTAGCTTGATTCGTGTTTTAAAACACGATGCACTGTAATACAATATAATTTCCTTCCAACAATTGAAAAAAAACATGAATTCAGAATGTTGATTGGCTGGAAAGTCCTTCGTAGTTCGAAGAGCAATAGCGAATAGGAACACAGCGATTTGAACCAGATCGAAGGGCAAGTGGGCGTTATATCCCATCGTTACCTGTATTGTCCGGAATTAAGCAAGTAGTCAACGGGGCAATCATGACAGGGAAGCCAGAGCTCCTGATGCCAAGCACCGAGCATGTCGGTCGCATGACCTTAGATCTGCGCGTGTTTGCGTATGAGAACTTTTTGGAGTTCATTGTCTGGACAGTGCGGGAGCGAGATGTTGGGCTAGGCGCCATCAGTGGCTACCGCAGTGCAGTGAAGAGTTTGTACATCGATCAAGGCGTTGACCTCCTGGAGCCATACGACAGCGACATGAAGGTACGAATGGAAATATATTATGGAGCGAATGTCAACGTTCTACACAGCCAAGAATGGCTCACCTCCATCCCCTTCGGCCACTGCGCTGGAATTGACCGCATCGTTTGCCGTTGCAAACGGCCTTTTGGACCCTATACGTTCAAACACGTCAAAGAAACGTACTCGAAGGGACGGACAACTACGTGTTTCGACGGCCACCAGACTTGTCCGGCAAATGGAGCCGACTGCCCACCCTCTGCCCTACCGCAAAAGGAACAAGCGATCTACATAGACCTAGAAAGGACCGTCATACAGCAGATTAGAGCGTGTCGTTGGGGCATGGATTGAGTTGATGTGTTGTGCGCACCTTGTGCGCAATGTGAGTTCGCTCGGAGTCTTGCAGCATCGGCAATGCACATGCTCATAAACGAGTTCGTGCGAAGTCCAATACTTGGGCATGCATGTGTAGATTACCTAAATGTAGCTCGCGTATATAGCCTGTGCATACTACGGAGACTGGCGGGGCCAAGACACGCTGAGCTTCGAAGTTGTTTCTTCGTC